TATATGACAAATGAGCTCTAAGGTCCTCCACAGACAGGCTTCTGATGGTCCCTGGCGGAGAGTTCAGTGTCAGAAGTGAGATGAAGATGAAGGCAGGGCTAGAGAAGTCAGATGCTGGAAGAGCCTGGGGGATGCCAGAACGGGCAAACTCAGAGGCCAGGCAGAAGGGGAGGGCCGGTGATGACAAGAGGTGAGGTCAGCTGGGGTGAGAACAACAACAAAGTTGTGTCTGAAGGTCACTTATCTGGGGGCAGAGGGCTAACCGGGACTTCTTAGTTGCCATCTATAATTCCTGGGAAGACAGAAGAGAAAGAATGAGAAAATGAAAAAAATATATAAGCTTTTTTTTTCCCCCCCTTCTTCTGTCCTAGTCTTTCAACCATTATTTCTAGTGCTTCTTCCTCTGGGGCCCTTTCTGATTATCCTAGTAAAATAAACTCAAACCAAACAATCCGTCAGTCTCAACAGATTCTTTCAGAGGACAGCAGGGCTTAACTGATTGAAAAAATTAACGAGCACATAAGGAAAGGGGCTGATCGTGCCTGACACAGACGTAGGCAGTGGTTACCCCTCTGGGGCAGGTGTATCTGGCCTGGATTGTTGACGGCACCATAGAAGGATACGGGGTGGGTTGTCCTCCAGACTCTTCCTCAGGGCATTCTCCACCGCATTCCGGGTCACGAGGGAGACAGTCAGGTGCTCATCCATTGGCAACATGGGCAAGGCAGTGACATTGATGACATCCATGTTCCTGAAATAAGCCATTGTCCGGTTTCTCGTAGAAGGACAAAACAGTAACTTTCTGCCTAAGAGCCCCCCCATTTCCTACCCCAAGCTTGCTCTCCGTTCAACCAGCCTGCGGGAAATCACAGATAGCATAGAACCATCTTAGAAAACACAACCACGCTCAGCCGGTAAAGTGGGGCTGATGGCAAGACACATGCTGCCTGCCACGTGGGGAACGGAGGCCATTGTCTGACAGCCCTTCTGAGCGATTCCAGACATACATACTTTTCTTTTCCCATTGATGCTCCTCCGCCCTGTTTCCCATAAACACGGTTCTAGTTTTTATTTATTTATTTATTTGACAGAGAGAGAGAGACAGCAAGAGAGGGAACACAAGCAGGGGGCGTGGGAGAGAGAGAAGCAGGCTTCCCGCTGAGCAGGGAGCTCAATGTGGGACTCGATCCCAGGACCCTGGGATCATGACCTGAACTGAAGGCAGACACTTAATGACTGAGCCACCCAGGTGCCCCTCTAGTTTTTTTTTTAAACAAGGAGACTAGAAGGCTGAAAAGGCCAGGGCTCCATGCCACCCAGCAAACCAGTTTCCAAGTTAGAAAGGAAATCAAATCCTTGTCTCTCTGAGACTCCTCTGCCAAGTCAGAGTTCTGAATTGGCTTCCTAAGACCCTTTTCAGCTCTCAGATGCTGGACTCTGTGACCCCAGGTCCATCTCCTCAGCATGGGCTGCTGATCTACTCAAGGCTTCCTGCTCCCTCCCAGAAAACTGGCCCTGTCATTGCTCTTCCTCCTGGTTTCAGGTCACTCTGGCTGAAATGTTCTCCTGGGTCCTTGCTTACAGGCCAGGAGTTCCTGCTACCATCTGTGGGTCTTCCAGGGCCAGAGCCTGGGAGCATAGGCCTGGTTCTAAAGAAGTTAAGACTCAGATCAGCCCTCAATAAGCTCCTATGTAGTAGAGGGAGAGAGAAAAGGTAGTTTAGTGGGAAAATTACCCCAAGGGCTCACCACAATGTCTTTCCCTCTCCTTGGGCTCAAGCCCTCCACTCTGCCTCTTTTCCGCAGCCATGCTTCCCGTATGTCTGCCCCTGCTCTGCTATGTTCTTGTGCCCCTATGTCTTTTCACCTGCTGTTCCCTCTGCTCCATGCTCATCCCACATGACGTATCTTTTGGAAAACCTTCTTTTATAAACAGTTTTTAAGTAGGTTCCACGCCTAACACGGAACCCAACTCAGGGCTTGAACTCATGACCCTGAGATCAAGACCTGAGCTGAGATCAAGTCAGGCACAACCAACTGAGCCACTCAGGTGCCCCTCTTTTGGAAAACCTTCTTGAATGACTCCAGGCCATTAGTTACGGCCCCTCCTCTGGCAAGTTTTGGATTCTGCTTTCACCTCTCCATCACAGCACTTATCATTCTGAACCAGAATTAGTTGCTTCCACATATTCTCCATTAGGCAAATTGATCCCTAGGGATTAGGTACACTCAATATTCGATTCCATTTTAGACCCACTCACCATACCTACTTTTAGTCTGAAGAAGCTTGGGGCTGTTCCAAGTCAGCTGGATCACAGGAAAGGCTGTCCCAGGCCCAGGTTAATATTATTTTTCCTCCTTCCAGCTCCTAGTCTTTCACTACGTAGGCAAGGGGGAGAGGGTAAGGAGGAGACAGGTGCATTGCTGGGCTTCTCACTTTCCTCCCACCCACTCCCCAGCATGACTGCAAAATTATGGCATGTTCTCTGAGAAGCAGGCTTAGGGCGACTCTGTCAAGAAGCCTCTTGCTTTAGCTTAACATTCTCCCTCATGCCTAATGGAAGAATTGGCTATTATTATGATTCTTTTTTTTTCTTTAAGATTTTATTTATTTACTTGACAGAGAGAGAGTGAGCAAGAGAGGGAACACAAGCAGGGGGAGTGGGAGAGGGAGAAGCAGGCTTCCCGCTGAGCAGAGAGCCCAACGCAGGGCTCTATCCCAGGACGTTGGGATCATGACCTGAGCCAGAGGCAGATGCTTAACGACTGAGCCACCCAGGCGCCCCTATTATTGATTCCTTTTTTTTTTTTTCAAAATATTTTTATTTATTTATTTGACAGAGATCACAAGTAGGCAGAGAGGCAAGCCGGGGCGGGGGTGGTTTGTGGTGGGAGGGAAGCAGGCTCCCCGCTGAGCAGAAAGCCCGATGTGGGCCTTGATCCCAGGACCCTGAGATCATGACCTGAGCCGAAGGCAGAGGCTTAACCCACTGAGCCAACCAGGCGCCCCTATTATTATGATTCTTAAATGTTTAAAATACACACTGTTCTCTTCTGAATTTTTCAGCATACCATTTTAGGTATTCTCTGAAACAGGATACGCTTTTACCAGCATCCCTTGGGGAGGAAAAAAGGATGGGGGAGAAAATGAATTTTGCTGATTCTCTACCCTGCGGGCTTCACTGTCGTGTTGGGGGCAGATGAGTGGAAGAGTAACAAACATTCTGCCTTCATGTAGCACATATTTGACAGCTGGCATGTTTCCTGTTTGAAGTTAACATGTTACATGATTTTAAGCATGTTTAAATAAGTGAAAATGATGCCGACTTTGGAATCAGACTTCTGTTCTGTTTAAACTTCAGCCACTCGATTTACGGAGTGTCCAACACAGCCCAGCAGTGTGCTCTTACTGGGGACAGGGTGGTCAGTTAAGCCAGACCTGATTCCTGCTTTAATGAGCTTTAAAGACCTTATGTCTACAGGGGAGACATGCAATAATCAAATGATTACACAAATAATTGTGAATTATAACTGCAACCACTGCTTTGAAGGAAGGAATGCAGTGCTGTGAGATGAGCTGAAATTAGGTATGGACCCAGTTACGGCTTGAAGGAAGAGCAGGAGTTAATTAGATAAAGGTGGGGGAAATACCATCCAAGCAGAGGGAAGCTGGTGGAGACAGGTAGGAAAAGGCTAGATCTGTGTGTCACGGTAGCCATTAACCACATGTGACAACTGAGGTCCTTGAAATCTGATTGGTGTGACTGAATAGAAATTTTAATTTTAATTAAGTTAAACTTACAAACTGAAGCAGTTGATTATATGTTGAAATGATTATATGTTAATATTGACTATATGTTGAAATAATAATACTTGGGGCACATGAGTTAAATTAAAGACTCAAATTAATATAACCTTTTTTTTTTTTTTTTTTTTTTACTCTTTAAAATATGGCTACTAGAAAATTCTAAGTGACACATGTGGCCCCCATATGTTTCCATTGGATAGTGACGGGTTAGACCATGCAGTTTGATTCTAGGACATAGAACTCCCCCCTTTTCAATGCACTGAAGTGTAGTTGGAAGAAAAGTGGACTTGCAGCCAGAGACCCATGAGATCTGGCCCTCATTGGATGGATGACCCGGTGCACTCACGTACTAGGTACCCAATAAACATCCCCCGAATGGCTCTTAGTTTAATTTTTCAAATGGAACCAATAATACACACTGTTGGAACTTCAGGAGATCTGGCGTTGATCCTCGCACAGTTCTCTGCCCTTGTTCACTGTGTCACCTTGAAGTGGTCCCTGGACCTCAGTTTCCCCTGCTTGTAAAAGCAGATCAGTGCCGGGACGTGGGGAGGTGGCTGTCTGCGGAAGAGGGCGGGGCGGGTACGGTCTTACCTTTACGTCTTACCTGAAGACATCGGCGGAATCTGACGAACTTGGGGCCGGTTCCGCCACGAGTCGTTCAGCAGACCCCGCAAAGTTCTGGATGGGACATCCGACACCTGTTGCCCCTACATCTACCAGGAAGGGGTGCCCTTTGCTTTGTGGTGAGGAGGAAGAGGGGCGTCGGGGAGAGGCCCATTTTGCCACTATGAGTCCTGGCGTTCTCAAGGCAACGCCAGGCGCAGTCACCACTTCCACCTTTGCCACAACAATGGAACCTTGGTGAGCCTCGGCGGCGTCCGCGAGACGCCGTTACCACGGTGACGGCTCGGGGTTGGGGGCTGGGGAGACCAGACCAATGGGTTTGTGGGGAGACTGTAGTTCCTCTTCCCAGTCTATAGCACGGGGCATGTCAGTGACTCCAGGAGACATCCCCTCCAGGGTCTCTTTAATATACCTAGCGCAATCCTCAAGGGTTTCTGGTGCCTCGCGTAGGGTCCCGTTGTGCACCTCACCGCGCCGGGCGCCCCCACCTCCCGCGATGGTAGAGTCCTGGGCGGGGATGCGCGTGCGCACAACGGCGGAGGGGGGGCGGAGCAACTCCAGAGTCGTGGTCGCGGCGGGTGACGCGGACCCCTGCAGGCGGTTTCCGGCAAGTATCGGTGTGTCTGTGGACCTGGCCTTCTGGGACGCGCTTAGGTCTGAGCACCGCGTCGCCCCAGAGCCCGAGGAGCGGGTGGGACGCCCGGGCCTTGTCCAGGGCTACCCAGCCGCTGGAGCGGCGGGAGGGCGCGGGACAGAGGGCGGAGGCTGGGTTCACCCCAGGCGGGTCGCCGCCCTCCTCGAAGTGGGTTTCCTCAATTATAAACTGGGTTGGTAATTCCTCCCCGCAGATTGGCTGCGAAGAGGATGAGAGTGCGTGCGGGCGCACGTTTGTTCTCTACCGTTAGTTGAGTCCAGCGGCGCGGGGAGGCAGAGTACGTACTTGGCTAGCTCTGAACTCTTTGAGAATCCAATGAAAGCCAAAAGCGGCTCCTTCCCTTCTTGTTAGATTTTAAAAAGATAATGTATTTTATGGCCCATTGCAAACTGTAAAGCATTGCGCAGCGATGAAATGATTATCATCAGCTCAGAGGGGTAGACCTTATTTGAAGCCCAATTCCACCACCTTCCCAACCTGTGACTGGGGACGAGTTACTTCTTTCACACTCAGTTGTCTGTTTCCTGACGCATACTTACCTCGATCTATTTCTCAGTGTTGTTGTGAGCATCAAATGCCACGGCTTTTTATAAACACTAGAACTACCTGTAAGTGGGTACTGTTGCTATCCCTGTTTACAAATAAGCCTGAGGCCCAGAGAACATTAAGCTCGGGGGGTCCCAGTGGGACTGAGCAGCAGAGCCATGATGGGAACCCAGATGTTCTCCCTTCGCTTAGAGTTGAGCCCTCTCTCTCCAGGGAGTTTCACTAGAGAGAGACCTCCTTGTGCCAAGGGGCTCGGCTCAGCTGGGACCTCAGGGTCCACACTTGTGTTCCAGATCTTAGGGTCTCAGCCAAAGTTGTTTGTGGATTATTGGATATGACTTAAAAGGCATTTGGTCCAGACACTTCCTTTTCCTCATCTGAAATATATTCATGATAGTTCTCTGCTTAAGGGTTATGAGAATGAGATCATGAGGGAAGTGCACCTGTTAAAACCTTGAGAGAGAAAGTAACTTGGCCAAGGTTTAGCATGCAACTGAGGGGCAGAGCCAGACTTGGAACTTGGTCTGTCGTGTCCAAGTGATATGCTCAGGCCTGGTACTCTTAGCACAGTGGCAGGCTTTCCAAGAATGACCTGGCCGGCTTTCCAAGAATGACCTGGCCAAGTATTTTTCCTTCTTCAGATGTCTCCAGGTGTTTGGAAGGTTAGGGGCTGTTTTTTAGTTGTTTTTTGTTCATTTGTTTTGTTTTTTTCATAATTAACATCATTGTAATTTATTAAATCCAGAAGTATATTTCTTTTTTTTTTTTAAAGGTTTTATTTGTCAGAGAGAGAGAGAGTGAGCACAAGCAGGCAGAGTAGCAGGCAGAGGCAGAGAGAAAGAAGCAGGGTCCCTGCTGAGCAAGGAGCCCGATGAGGGACTCGATCCCAGGACCCTGGGATCATGACCTGAGCCGAAGGCAGTGGCTTAACCAACTCAGCCACCCAGGCATCCCTCTTTTGTTTAGTTTTTTAAAAAGATTTAATTATTTATTTGAGAGAGAGAGAGAGAACAAGAGTAGGGAAAGGGGAGAGGGAGAAGCAGACTCCCCACTCATATATGTTTATATATATAAATATGTATATATATAAACATATATATACATGTATATGTGTGTACATATATACATATATATTTATATATAATATATATAAACATATATTATATATAATATATATAAACATATATTTATATATATATAACATATATATAAAATATATAATATTATATAAAATTTCTACCACTTGACCACCTTTTACCTATAAAATGACGATTTCACTAAAGCCAGCCATCCTACTGTGGACCTCCAAACAGTGAGGAGTTTGGTGTATCTTTCCAAATTTTTTTCTATTTTTTTAATGTACATATATTCTCCCCCCCCTTTTTTTTTCTTTCTGTCTTCTCATGGCTTTATATATATTGTTCTGCATCTTGCTTTCTTAATGTTTAGAGTGTGTTGGAGGTCTTTCCAGGTCAGTTCATATAAAGCTGCCTCAGTGTTTTTACTTGTCCTGTTGCATTCCATTGGAAGAATGTGCTACAATGTATTGCCTATACCAACCATTGGCAGACATTTTGGATTGTTTTTTATTTTTCACTGTTACCAACAGCAGGGAACATATGTGTATATATGTCCAATTCTTTTTGGAGGATACATTTTTAGAAGATCTGACAGCCAAAAAGTGTGCACATTTAAAATTTTGCTACGTTTTGCCTGACTGGGAAATTATAACATCTTGTTTCCACCTAAAGAAAACGAAAGTGTCTTTCTCTCCACACCCTCACTGGCATTGGATATTTTTTATCTTTTAAGTTTTGCCAATATGGTGAATGAAAATGCTTCTTTTATGATGTACCCCACTAATTATTTATACAAGGGCAATTTGATATATACCTTTAGCCAGCTGACCATGACTGTGGACCTTGGGGAAAACTGGCTAACTTCTCCACACCCTAGTCTAGTATTTTCATCCCTGATATGGGTAGAAAATACCTGTGTGGCTCAGTGGGTTAAAGCCTCTGCCTTCAGCTCGGATCATGGTCTCAGAGTGTGGGATCAAGTCCCACATCAGGCTCTCTGCTCAGCAGAGAGCTGAGATTCTGCTAATTAATGATTAGGAGGGATTCTCCTCTCTCTCTGCCTGCCTCTCTGCCTACTTGTGATCTCTCTCTCTTTCAAATAAATAAATAAAATCCCTGAGCCGAAGGCAGAGGCTTAACCCACTGAGCTACCCAGGCGCCCTAAATAAATAAAATCTTTTTAAAAAAGAAAAGAAAAAGAAAATACCTACCTAATAGGGTTGCTGCAATGTGCTCAGCATCTGGCCCAACCCACGGTGGCTCTGCGGAAAGTGATACTAGTTTGTGTTACTGCACTCTTTTCTTTTTGGAGTTAAACTCTTTCTTCCCAGATAGGCCCTTGATGCGGGGCTCGATCCCAGGACTCTGGGATCATGACCTGAGCTGAAGGCAGATGCTTAACAACTGAGCCACTCTACTGTTGTTTTTAATTAAAAATACACACCTACCAATGAAATTCTCATGAGTACACCTGCTCCAAACATCTTTATTTTTATTTATTTATAAATCATACAGACATGAACATCTGTATTATTGTAAAACCTCCAAAGAAGCTTCTAGACTTTCATCATTAATCTTAGTGACATTAATTTTTACATCACTGAAAATAGCATGGTTTTTCGTCATGTTCTCATAGAGTGCATGTCTTCCTAACTGATGGATTCGTACAGTGAGTTATCTTTTTTTTTTTTATAAACATATATTTTTATCCCCAGGGGTACAGGTCTGTGAATCGCCAGGTTTACACACTTCACAGCAGTGAGTTATCTTTTTAATCATAGTTGATATAAACCTTGTTTCAAATGGTCTTGAGAAGTTCTCTCTTTTTTTTGGCCAGCTTCTTGTCAGATGTGATTAATTCCTTACTGTGTTTTTTTTTTTTTTGGGGGGGGGGGGGGGGGGGGGGGTGGTGTGTGTGTTGTTTCTTTGAGAAAGAGAAAACAAAGGGGGAGGAGCAAAGGGAGAGGGAGAAGCAGACTCCCCGATGAGCAGGGAGTCTGATGTCAGGCTTGATCCTAGGACCCTGAGATCATGACCTGAGCCAAAGGCAGATGCTTAACTAACTGAGCCCCCCAGGCACCCAATTAATTCATTACTGCTTTTGTCTCATAATGTGGTGGAAGAAGATTTTATATGTAGGAGTAGGAAAATTGAGAGCTCTGTTTCCTTCTGTTCATTGTGCTTTTGTTATGATTATCTTCAATCTACAGTTTCTTGGAAGGATCTTTTTAAATGACTTGTGTATTTTTTTTTTTAAGATTTTATTTATTTGACAGAGATCACAAGTAGGCAGAGAGGCAGGCAGAGAGAGAGAGGGAAGCAGACTTCCTGCTGAGCAGAGAGCCCGATGCGGGGCTCGATCCCAGGACCCCGAAGATCCTGACCTGAGCCGAAGGTAGAGGCCTTAACCCACTGAGCCACCCAGGCGCCCCACTACTTGTATTATAAATTAAAATTGGGTAATATCTGGGAAGAAATGAACCTTGACGTCTGTCTCACACCTTACACAGAAGTTAATTACAGATGAATCATAGTCCTAAATGTGAAAGCTAAAACAATAAAATTTGCAAAGGGTTATATATATGAAAATATGACCTTGGAGTAGGCAAAATTGCTTAAATAGGATACAAAACACTAATCATTAAATAAAATTGATAGATTCCATTAAAATTAAGGACTTCTTTAATCAAAAAGAAACCAATAAGAAAGCAAGAAGACAAGTTGCAGATAGGGAGAAAATATTTTCGGTATTCTCTCTCTACAACAAAGAACATATATTCAGCATATATAAAGAGCCCTTACAAATCAGTAAGAAAATGATGGAAAACCCAATAGAAAAGTGGCAAAATCTACCCCCCCACACCGCCTGCCTCTCTGCCCACTTGTGATCTCTGTCTGTCAAATAAATAAATAAAATATTTTTTTAAAAAAAGTGGCAAAAGACTTGAACAACTACATCACAAAACGAGGTTATCCAAACGTCTGATGAATATATGAAAAGGTACTTAATGTAATTGAGCAGTTTAAGCACTCAATGCAGTATAACTACATACCTACCAGAGTAAATAAAATGAAAAAGATAGGAAATGCCCAAAGTTCAAAACTTTGTCCACTGTTGGTAGGACATGTAAGTTGTCTCAACCGCTTTGGAAAACCATTTAGCAGTATCCTGCCAGAGCTGAATATGAAGGTTTGACAGCTTCACAGTTCCACCCCCGGGAGTAGAATCAGAGAAGCGTACTGACACGTACAGAAGTTCATGTCCGCGCGTGTTCTCCGCAGTAGTGTTTCTAATTGACAAGAACTGAAAACAATCCAAATGTCCGCTTACTCAGTAGACTGTTTACTGCAATGTGAGTGAGCAAAGTGTAACTACTCAGAACATAGACAAGTCTCACACACATGATACTGAGTGGGAAGAAACCAGACACAGAAGACATCCTGCACAAATCCATGGATACAGGGCTGCTGAGCAAGGCTTGCAGTGTGATGCAATGTTCTGTATCCTGGTCTGGAGGGTGTGCGTGCATGTGTGTGCATGTGTGTTTGTGTGTGTGTGTGTGTGTGTGTGTGTGTGTGTGTGGAGTAAAAATTCATGAAGCCATACGTTTACTATCTGTATACTTTTCTATGTTACAAGTAAATATACGAAAATATCTACCCCACCTCCCCACCCCCCAAATGGGCAGTGTCGGTAAATCGACTTCACTGGGCCAGCATGAATGGCAGTAGGTTGCGATGGGATAAAAGCAAATGGTGGCCATTGTCAGCCCTGCCACGTGGTGGGCCTCCTCCTTCAGCTGGACACCTCACCGGCCACACAGAAAGGAGACCTTCTGACCTAGGTCTGAGTGAGGGGCACCATTCTCACTCTGGAAGTATAATAATTCTCACTCCGAAGTATAGAGCTTCATTTCTCTCTCTCTCTTTTTTTTTAAGATTTTATTTATTTTTGACAGAGAGAGGGAACACAAGCACGGGGGAGCTGGAGAGGGAGAACCGGGCTCCCCGCTGAGCAGGGAGCCCAATATGGGCTCGATCCCAAGACCCTGGAATCATGACCTGAGCCGAAGGCAGCCGCTTAAGCGACTGAGCCACCCAGGCACCCCTAGAGCTTCGTTTCTTTAAGATAGAGTCTGTGCAGGGGCTCTTGCCCCATGTGTGATTCTCCCCAGCATCCAGGAACAAGCAGGACTGCGTTCCTTGCTCTAGATTATAAATCTGGTGATGTCACCTTGTGTGACAAAACTCCAAACAGGCAAGTTAGGCCCTTGTCCATGGTGACGAAACTGTAGACCCCCACGGGTCCGCACTGAAATGCTCACGCCCACTTAGGACTTTAGTCTTTCTAGACCTCCTCTGTTCAGGGGGATTACAAGAAGAGTAATAAACACGGGGTGCTTGTGAATAGAGGAGTTTCACACAAGGGCTTCACGGAGTGTTCTTCTAGTGAGCTCTCAACATGGGTGCCCTCTCCAGGATGGTTGAGAGCCACGTGGAAAGATGTATGTTTCCATGATCTGAGGATGGTGGCATAAGGTCATTGACCCATCTGTTTGTATCTGTGACTTTTTCTGACAGTAGAAGGGAGCACCGACCTTTCCTTCATCAGGCCCAAGATGCCTCTCTTTGGGAACACGTTCAGTCCCAAGAAGACGCCCCCTCGGAAGTCTGCTTCTCTCTCCAACCTGCATAACGTGAGTATCACCACTGAGGCCCATCTCAGTGTGCAGGGACTGGAGCATCACGCGTGGTGTCTGACGGAAGGTGTGGTCCTCCAGTGGCAACGGAGGGTGGGATGAAGGCATTCCAGGAAGAAGGACAGTCTGCCCGTGGCTTGGAGGGGGCCCCATATCAAGCGGGCCCAGACTTGCCAAGGAGCACACACTGTGTGGGTCTTGGTTTCTTGTGGCTGCAGAAGCCCCAGCAGGCTTCCTTGTAAGGAAGACATCCTTCTAATTTGTATTATTGCCATTGCTAAAAATATTTTTAACTCCCGGGGCACCTGGCTGGCTCAGTCAGAAGAGTGTGCGACTCTTGGAGTTGCGAGTTTAAAAAAAACACATTTTTAAGAAGGTTTTATTTATTTATTTATTTATTTGAGAACGGAAGCAAGAGCAAGCGAGTGAGAGGGTGAGAGAGAGAGAGGACACAAGCAGGGGGAGAGGGAGAGGGAGAAGCAGCCTCTCTGCTGAGCAGGGAGCCTGATGTGGGGCTCGATCCCAGGACCCTGGGATCACGACCTGAGCCGAAGGCAGAAGCTTAACTGACTGAGCCACCTGTGTACCCCCTCCAAAAAAAAAAAAAAAAAAAAAAAAAAAAAAAAAAAAAAAAAATTTTAAACTCCTGTTTGGAAATCATCGTCAGAGCATGTTCAAGAACCTAGTAAAACAGTTGCTCCCAGGATGATTTTTGGCTCCAAATGGTATTATCCAACTTGCTTTCGCTTTATTCCCAAAACCTGGCCAGGAATTGATTTTAATTGTGTCTGAGAATCAAAATCATTCTTGAAGGACGATGTTTTGCCATCATTAGTGGCACTCGGGTGTGTTGAAGCTCCAGATGTGGCTTCTGGAGTGCAGGGCTGGTCGCAAGGACCCCAAAATCCCCAGACCTGGTCCCGGCACCCCAGGGCTGCTGAGTGAGTGGTAGAAACTCTGAAAACTACATTACAGAACAGCTCAACTGCAGATCGGGTGTTAGTATTTCACGCCTTTTCTTTTTTTTTTTTTTTAAAGATTTTGTTTATTTACTTGACAGAGACACAGCGAGAGAGGGAACACAAGCAGGGGGAGAGGGAGAGGGAGAAGCAGCCTCTCCGCTGAGCAGGGAGCCTGATATGGGGCTCGATCCCAGGACCCTGGGATCATGACCTGAGCTGAAGGCAGACGCTTAACGACTGAGCCACCCAGGCGCCCCCACTTCATGCCTTTTCTGTGACCTGTAGAGCTCCATGGTAAGCAAGGCATAATGTAGGGGCTTATTACCTCTAAAAAAGGATTTTCTGCTTTATTAAAAATTTATAGTAGGGGGTGCCTGCGTGGCTCAGTTGATTAAGCAACTGCCTTTGGTTCAGATCATGGTCCCGGAGTCCCGGGATCGAGTCCCACGTCGGGCTCCCAGCTCTGCCGGGAGTCTGCCTCTTCCTCTGACCTTCTCCCCTCTCATTCAAATAAATAAATAAAATCTTTTAAAAAATTATAGTAGGATTTCTTAAACTGTGAGGTGCCCAGCAGATGTCAAATAATTCAGATTTCGGCTTACAGAGTTTTTCTGGGAAACATGTATAATAAAGTGGAAGATTCCTTCTTCTAAGATTAAAAGTTTTTGTTGTACCTTATTTGATTTTCTGACTTTGAACAAAAGTTATGAAATATGCCCAGTGATGATTAGAGAAAAGAAATGAGTTGCCGGGGTCACACTGTTAGCAGGAGAGGCGCAGGGACTGGGGTCCATGTGCTTCTTGAACCCCCCGGGCGGTGTCTCGTCCACAGCTGGATCGGTCAACCCGGGAGGTGGAGCTGGGCCTCGACTACGGGACCCCCACTATGAACCTGGCCGGGCAAAGCCTGAAGTTTGAAAACGGCCAGTGGATAGCAGGTGGGCTGATCTGCTGTGGTGTCCACCAAGACTGTGGAAACAGAGCCCCCGTGTAACTGCCGGTTCTATCCTTCCACCAGAGATGGGGATCAGCGGCGGTGTGGACAGGAGGGAGGCCCAGCGCCTCCGCAGGCGGAACCAGCAGTTGGAGGAAGAGAACAATCTCTTGCGGCTAAAGGTGGACATCTTGCTGGACATGGTAAGGGGGGCGATAGGAAGGGACGCCTCGTTCTCTCCTTGCGGGAGAGAGCAGTTGGAGTCTGTGTCCCAGCTGCGCGTCAGCGTTAATGCAGGGGAGAGAGCAAGTCGTTCTGCGAGTCAGGAGCGTGTCGGAGGGAGGGATACTTGAGCTGAATGTGGATAAAGGGAGGAACAGAGGGTGGGATGAAGGCATTCCAGGAAGAAGGACAGTCTGCCCGAGGCTTGGAGGGGGTCCCATATCGAGCGGGCCCAGACCTGCCAAGGGGCACACTCTGTGCGGGTCTCAGTTTCCTGTGGCCGTGGAAGCCCTAGCAGGGTGGTGTGCGATGAGAGGTGTCGGGGACTCGGCAGAGCTGTCCTGCCTTCTGGAGCCAGCCCACCAGGGTCCTTGCACAGCGCCACCACGGGCTTTGTGACTTCAGCAAATTCCTTCACGGCTCTGTGTGTCTCAGCTTAGTGTCTTCATGGGTGAAACAGGCACCAGAAGAGGAGTGGCCTCGTACCAAGTTAATAACCCAAGGAAAGCGCTTGGAACAGAGAAGTGCTCCGAAGTGTAGTCCCTCCTGCCCCCATCCCCCAGCAGCAAGCTGCCCTCTGCTTCAGAGAGTAAAGTTTCTGTCCCTGTCCTGAGTAGCCTCCATCCCAAGTACGTTGAAAGACCGGAATGAGGAAAGTGGCGTTCTTTTTCAAGTATTTTTCCCCTGATCACCATTATGTGAGCTACGGCTCAGAAACAACTCAGACCCCTAATTCTTTAGCCTTAGGATGGCCCATGGTCTGCCTTTATCATCTCCTGAGGCCTGCTATCTTTAAGGCAGTGAACGCGTGACCAGAATGTTGGGAGGGTGGGTCAGGACTGTTCTTTGTGTACTGGAGGCCCTTGGGGTTCCCCAAGGGGTTCCCTTGGTTGGGGGGGTGGTGGGCAGGGGAGAGAGAGGCCAGGGGGCCTTTCCCCAGGGCACGGAGCACCTTGCAGTCATGACACAGCCCAGAAGGGCGCTGGTTTATTACCGTCTCCGGCCTTCGTTTCAGCTGTCTGAGACCACCGCCGAGTCCCACCTCATGGAGAAGGAGCTGGAGGAGCTGAAAAGCGTCAGCCGCAGGAGGAAATGAAGCCCGTGAAGGCCTTCGTCAGGAGAAAAGGGAGAAGCCCACCGACCCGAGGAGTGGGATGTGGCTGAGGGTCTTTTGTAGCTGAACTAGGGGATTAGGTCCTGGGAGAGAGGGTCATATAATAGGTCCAGCAGGCCCTGGCCCCCTTGGGTGGGCAGCAGGAAGGTACCACGTGCTGGCAGAAGCCGGGACCCCAGGCCAGGGCGGTGGGCCAGAACAAGCCCTGGGGTGCTGTCCAGTGGTGACTTCACGTTCATACGCGCCTTCCCAGGCTCGGCCTCACTGGATGGAGGCTGCTGGCCGCGGCGGCTAGAGTTCATTGCCTCATCCCTGACGCTGGTGTCTAGGGCGTGGCGCCAGCAGTTCTAGAGTCCTGTGTTGGGGGCCTTGGATGAACAGCCCTCCTGGCGCTCTGTGCCACCTCCCTGGGGGTCCCTTAAGGAATATTTATTCTCCAAATCCACCCCTCATCTGGCTTCAGCTTCTCAGTGGCGAGCCCCAGGCTTCCACGAAAACTCTCTATTTTTGTGCTACTTTCCTGTGTACTTTCTCACAATTAAATGATGGTATATCATCTGTCTGTGGCCAAAGTGACTGAGAAACGAAAGCAGCAGGTCTTGAAGAAGTCAGTGGAGCCTGGAGTCTAAGCGTCTGTTTGGCTGTCCAGAGACACAGTTTTAAAAAGTTTAAGTTGTGGGGAAATGTCACCCTGGCCGGAGAAGCGTTCCAGCTCTCTGAGCATCCGCCGAGGCTGACCGGGAACAGAAACAGTCTCACTGCCCAAATTCCTCTGCAGTCCTGATGAAGTTTTAGAATAGAAGTGAGGGCCGGAGCCGATGACCAAGAAAGAATTCTGAGGACATCTCTGGCGCAGAAAGGTGATTTTATTAAAGCACGGGGACAGGACCTGTGGGCAGAAGGAGCCGCCGCCCAGGGTTGTGAGGGGCGGCTGATTATACACTGCGGGGTTGGGGGAGGTAAGGAAAAAGGGAGGCTTTGAAAGAACTTTCCTGTATTAAAAAAGACACACAGGTTCTGGGAGGCTTTGCTATTGTCAAGTTAAGGTGGTTTTTCCTTTTGGCGAGGCATTAACCGTGAGATAGTTGGGCGCTTCCTGGAGGAATGTCCCACTCCTGCCATCACACATCCTTGCCAGTGAGCTTTAGGTTTAGAAGAAATTTAACTTCATTTACATTTCCCTCTGCCTCAGCCTCCCTCAGTTTTAGGGAGGGGAAGATGATGTCAGGGCGTCAAGAACGGAGTTACAGTTCTCTGCAAGTTGGGCTGTTGATAAGAAAGCTCCTTCTTGTCAGTCACTAGGACATTTGTAAACTGAGGGAGGCTCAGGTCTTGCAGGATTGTGATCTCTACAAGGTAACTATTTGTTTTTCATTGGGGGCAGCCAGGGGTGCCCGAGGATTGTCACGTACAGCCCACGGGGGGCGGTTTGCGGGGTGTCAGCTTCTGCTTTGCCCTCTGTTCTCTCATCAGTCCGTCAGAGATTGGGGGCTAGCTCGGACCTGGCAGGGACCCAGTGGAGTCCTGGAGTGGCTGAGTGGTCGGTGCGGGGGGAGTTTGCATTCCTAGAGAGGGAATTTGTGCCTAGGTCCATGTGAGCCGAGCTGCTCTGGCTGGAGGAGGGAATCAGTAAGAGGGAGCCCAGCTCCCAAAGTTAAGGGGGGGGGGGCACTGAGATGGGGGCAGAGCCCAGAGCTCTAGCCTGGCGATGGCTACGACGGGCAGCAGTTTCTGAAAGCCCGTGACTTTCGTGGGACGGACCTCAGCACCTTGCCCTCCTACTGAGTCTCCCTCAGCTCAGCCCTGTGAGTGGGGGCCTGGACACAGGTGTCCTCAGAGGTAAGGAGCCAGATTCCAGGAGTTTCAGAAACTGGTCCAGGATCATAGGGCAGAGAAGTGTGAGAGCCTGTGTCATGACTCCCCGCTCCTGGTGAAAGGGAAGGACTGGCGGGGAACGGCCTCTAATGGGCCAGTTCTGGGGGAGATGGATAGACGCTCCAGCCCATAAGCTCACTTTCTGACCGAGGAGAGAATAACTCAGAAGAAATGGGGCGATACAAATGTAAACAGGACGTCAGTGCTCACACTGATTGCAGCAGGGGAGGGCTGGCTTAGTCCTGGCCCAGCCTCCGTGGCGACCATCTACTGAGTGCCCTCGAGGCCAGACACCTGTTGCTGGATCTCCTAGGATTCTGGTTACCGGCCCTTGGTTTTAGAGGAAGAAACAAGCTCCCTCGAGGCGACACAGCTGGAAGGGGTGGAGCCCTGGGAATCAGGAGGGGCAGGTTTGGTTGTCACAAAGATGTGGATCCCCGAGTCTCCCTGCCACCAGACCGGACTGGAGCCATTATGTGGGACAGTTCTGCAGTGAAGAAGGACTTTCATTTTGAGTGAGAAGGGCAATAAGCTGTTGCTGAGTTTGAACAGGGAAGTGGTGCTACGGTCAATTTTTTGTAATGATTTATTTATTTTAGAGAGTGTACAGCGGAGGGGCAGAGGGAGAGGAGAGAGAACCTCCAGCAGACTCCCTGCTGAGTGCAGAGCCCGACGTGGGGGCTCGATCTTACAGCCCTGAGATCATGACTTGAGCTGAAGTTAAGAACCAGACGCTCAATTGACAACCACCCAGGTGTCCCAATCAATGTGTGTGTGTGTGTGTGTGTGTTTTAAGATTTTATTTATTTATTTGACACAAAGAGCACAAGCAGGGGGAGTGCCAGGCAGAGGGAGAGAGAGAAGCACAGTCCCTGCAGGGCAGGGAGCCCGATGCAGTGCTCGATCCCAGGACCCTGGGATCACGACCTGAGCTGAAGGCAGAGGCTTAACCAATTGAGCCACACAGTCACCCCCACCAATCAGTTTGTGTTGGGTGATGGATGTGAGAAAAAGAGGAAGGTGGTCACATCTCACCACCCCAACCTTTGTGTCTGTTGTCCCCCTGCCCATGCTATCTACTTTCAAGTTCTTCCCTTTCTAGTCACATACATCCTTAAGGTTCTGGTTAAAATTAGACTTTATGAACCAGATCTGCTTCCCAGGGGCCACCCAAGTAAATAGTGCCATTTACTAGAACTTATAGATACTACAACAGTTTTGTGAATTTCCGCACTGCATGTCAGGTTGGGGGAGCAGTTACTGGGGATGCTGCACGAGATCCCTGGGGTGTCAGGGAGCGTGCAGGGTTAGAGGCTATCGGAGGGAGTCCTTAAGGTCCTACAGGCCTCAAAAGGGGATCTACCCGCACAATTGTGCAGATGCGGGCTAATACGTGTTTTTTTATGGGAGGGGCTTACAGCTTCTCTAAGATTCTTGAAGGGATCTGTGCCTGCCCACTGACCCACATTAAGAATTGCTCTATCACCGGGGCGCCTGGGTGGCTCAATGGGTTAAAGCCTCTGCCTTCAGCTCAGGTCATGATCCCAGGGTCCTGGGATCAAGCCCCTCATCAGGCTCTCTGCTCAGCAGGGAGCCTGCTTCCTCCCTCTCTCTCTGCCTGCCTCTCTGCCTACTTGTGATCTCTGTCAAATAAATGAATAAAATCTTAAAAAAAAAATTGCTATATCACCAATTGTGAATTCTGACAGGACAGAAACAGGAAAGGCGGAATCATGGACTTGAGGGATGGGGTCGAAGAGGAGCCAGAGGCTGGGGTTCCAGAACACCCCATCTCCATCCAAATGGCAAAGTCTGTTCTGCGTCTGCGTGGGGCATCCACACTCACTTGTTACCTGTGCTTGTCTCCTTACCCTCCCACAGGCCCCCTGGCCGGGTTCATTCTTGGCTTATGTATTCTCTGCATTTCTCCTCCAAACCTTCAGTAAAGCGACTCCCCCAATTTCCCTTCTTCCTCTCCAGCACCACCTCCTCGAACCCCTTGAGGCTCCCCTTCCCCACTATCTTTTTTTTTTTTTCAGTTAGGATTTTCTATTTGTTTTTAATTTAAAATTTTTTCTATCGTGGCAAAATACACACAACATAAAATTTACCATCTTCACCATTTTTAATTAGTGCAGTGGTACTGAATACATTCATAACGTTGTGCCCCCACCCCTCCACCATCCATCTCCAGACACTTCGTCTTGTAAAGCTTAAACTCTGCCCATCAAACAGTAACTCCCCATTTTGTAACTGAACCCAAGTTCGAGTGCCCGACACACAGTAAAATTGATCACTGAGGGCTCGAGGGTACAACAAGGCAAGAGTTTATTCTTGCTCCCAAATGAGAGCTGGGAAGACAAGCCTCAAATTCACCTCCCTGAAGCAGGAGAGCCAGGGATTTTTTTTTTAAAAGCGAGTGGAAAAGGGTCTGAGTAAAAGGGAGAGGAGTTAGATGACCCCAAAATCAGATCAAGGAAGATATGAAGTAAGGGAGGGTTAACTGCGTTTTGTTGGACTCTAAGAGGCAGTCAGTATCCTGACTGGTTCCAGCTGGCTTCTGGATAAAACTTTGTGTTTCTGCAAAACAACTAAATTAACAGCTGGTTATCATGGTGTCAGGAAAATTCTGGATACATGGTGGTAGATAGCATTCTGAGAACAAGCAGGTTCTCAGCTGCTTCAGCTGCCCTGTTACCTTTTTGGTTATACATATTGGTTTCCCCTCCCCCAGCCCCTGGCAACCACCTGTCTACGGTCTATGATTGCCACTAAGGACTCACAGACCTTCAAATGTCTGATTCCGCCAGGTCCTGGCCTCTGGCCTCCCTTCTCACTCTGCCTTTTCTAGACCATCACATCTCTCCAAAGGCTTTTAATACTCTGTTCTGCAGGATTCCCTTTTTTCTTATCCCTCTGCAGTGACAGAATTATTGAAAGTTTTTAAATTTTTTTTTAAAGATTTTGTTTATTTACTTGACAGAGATTACAAGTAGGCAGAGAGGCAGGCAGAGAGAGGGGAGAATCAGGCTCCCCGCTGAGCAGAGAGCCCGATTCGGGGCTCGATCCCAGGACCCTGAGATCATGACCTGAGCCGAAGGCAGAGGCTTTAACCCACTGAACCACCCAGGCACCCCGAAAGTTTTTTTATTCTTAAGCGTCATGTTTTGGGATGTCTGTGTGTGTGTGTGCGTGCGCGCGCGCACGCGCGTCTTTTTAGATCATGTATTGCTCTTGTGAATACAAACAAAATTACTTGATTAAAGTTTTCCCAAAACTTCCCCACATTAGTATTGTGACTTTCCACTTGGAGGCATTAATGCCTGTAGCTTCCACAGATGATTGCCTTCTCTAGGGACACCTGGCTGGCTCACTTGGTAGACCATGCAACTCTTGATCCCAGGGTCATGAATTCAAGACCCAGGCTGGGTGTGGAGACTACTTAAAAAAAGAAAAAAAAAAATAGATTGCCTTCTCTCCCTTCAAGAGTGTTGGTCTTCCAGCATTTCCTAAAAGAGCCCACAAAAGAACTGAAAGCCATTGGTACTGGGCTCTTAAGTTGTCCTGGCATTTATACAGCGCTAGCCAACATAAATGCTTTTAACGAATGCAAAAAGACATAATTCGTAAGTGTACAGCCTGCTAGAGTGTCCAAAATGAACATACCCAGGCAAATACCACCC